TGGGCACCACACACGTCATCTCCCCTCCCCTTCACGGGACCCCCCGGAAGCTGAGCTAAGAGATCAGATGAAAGAACAAAATCAGAAGAGGGGCCTGGAGAGAGAGAATGTGCAGGCTGCTTGCTCTGTATAAGGCCAACTCAGGTTCAATCCCCGATACCCCATAAGGGCCACAGAGCCAGGAGTGATCCCTGAGTGCAGAGCCAGGAGGCAGCCCTGAGCATCGCTCCCTACAAATACATACGTGCAAAGCCCCATGGAATATGGGACAGGGAGGCAGTATGTATCAGGGCCTGGAGTCCCGCACCTCTCCCCTCCCCAGCCCACTCCCCTTGCCCCACAGCACCTCATCCGTCCATAGCACCCTCGGTCTGGCCCCTGTAAATGGACAACAAGGAGCAGGAGAGGCGGGCAGGGCTGAGAGCACCGGCCCGGGTTGAGGCAGCACCGCGGGGTCCAAGTACCACTGCATCCCTCCAGCCCCAGCATTCAACAGTTCACTGGGCCCTGAAGGCCATGAGAACTGCCTGGGAGGACACCCAAGTCCATGAGTGGACACAAAGATCCTTGCTCGCCTCCTCCTTTCCGTCCCTTCCACAGTTGTGCGCCCCAGACCCCTACTACGAATCTCCAAGAGAGAGGCTAGACCTGGGAAGGAGGCTGCCCGCCTGGTCCCCTAACCCCACAGCGCCACCTGGTGTCCTCTCGTCATAGCCACAGCTGCAGGCCCATCCCAGCGCGGGGCTCCTCCGGCCTACCCGGGTGTGGGAAGTTCCAGGCCGTTCCTTCTCCCCCAGCGTCACCATCCCGTCCTTAACATCCCCAGGTTTGCTTTCAGGTTTGTCGCTCAGAGTTAAATAAAGCCTTTTGCCTTCTTCTTTTCTCCTCTTTTTGAGTTTGGGAGTCATCCCCTCTGTGTTCAGGGCTTACAGATCCCTGGCTCTGTGCTCAGGTTTGGAGGACCAGATGGGGTGCTGGAGGTCGAACTTGGATCAGCCATGGGCAAGGCAAGTAAGTGCCCTCCCGCTGGGCGATGGCTCCCGCCCATGGCCCTCTGCGGGAAGATGAGTTTTCTCCCAGGACCTGTTTCCAACTGCCTTGTTTTAAGGCTGTTCCTGGGGGTGGGGGGAGGGGAGAGGGCTCTGGGAGTGGGGGCAGAGCATGGTGGGGTGGAGCCGGCAGTGACTGTGCTGGGGTGCCAGGGGCTTGCCCAGCTGCCAGCAGAGGGCAGCCTCGGCTGGCGGACTATCTCTATGCCCCCCAAAGGTTGGTTGGTGGGCCAGAGAGAAATGCAGGGGGATAAAGTAAGGGGGTAAGCCTTGCATCTGGTTAATCCTAGTTTGACTTCCCCCTGCAGCATATGTCCCGAGCACCACCAGGGGTCACTCCTGAGCACAGACCAGGAACAGCCCCTATGGGTGTGGTTAGAAACTAAAGTTTGACTTCCTGAGAGGCTCTGAGGGCTGGATGACAATTTTGTTTTTGTTTGTTTGTTTCCAAAAGGTCACACATGGTGGTGCTGGGGGCTGACTCCTGGCTCTGTGCTCAGGGATCATATGGGATGCCAGGGATCAAACCTGGGTTGGCCACTTTCAAGGCCAACACCCTACCTGTGGTACTATTACTCCAGCCCCAGGAGACAGCACATTTGATCCTCTCTGATAGGGTGTGTCCTCACGTCCCTGGGGGCACCCCTCAATCTGTGGAGAAGGCAGCATGGTCCTGTAAGCAACGATACTGCCTGCTTAACTCCATGGCTGTCAGACCCCAAATTCCCTGAGCTAAGATCTCCTCGAAAGTGTCCCAAGCCATGCGGTTGGGTTCTGCAGCTTGACCGGATCTAAATTTCCTTTTGTGATAGCACAGCAGTAGGGCGTTTGCCTTGCATGCAGCCAGCCCGGCGGAGCCGGGTTCGATTCCTCTGCCCCTCTCAGAGAGCCTGGCAAGCTACCGAGAGTATCTCGCCCGCACGGCAAAGCCTGGCAAGCTGCCCGTGACGTATTCAATATGCCAAATACAGTAACAAGTCTCAAAACGGAGACGTTACTGGGCCCACTCGAGCAAATCAATGAACAACGGGAGGACCGTGTTTTTGTTTGTTTTTATGGGGGTGGGGGTGGGAGAGTTAGGGCCACACTTGGTGGTGCTCGGGGTCACACCAGGCAATGCTCAAACTTATTTGCCAGATTTATCACTTTCCCCTTATCACTGCCCGGTGCTTGTTGGGCCCTGGAGGGCTGCAGAATGGTTTCCCCTGCGCCCCCCGAGCCGGCTGCAACCCCTCACTGCATCAGGAGCTCCTCAGTCGTTCTGTGCATCCAGGATGGATCCTGCAGGCGTTCAGGTCCTGGCCCACACTGCGGGGGGTGGGGGGGGTGTCTGTCTGGCCCCTATGGGCTGGGCAGCTGGATGTTAGGGGCATTGCCAGCACCCACATGCTGTTTTGTGAAGTGTGAGCAGAGAAGCCCAGCCACGGAGTGTCCACAAGCAGGCCTCAGAGGAAGGACACTCAAAGGCGGTCACTCACCAGAAATTCAGTCTGGCCCAGGCCTGGCTGGGGGACCCTGCCCTGGAGTAAATATTGGTGTCCCCATTCACATGCCAAGCCCCTAATCTCTGATGTGGTAAATCGGTTGGGGGGGACTTGGGGAGGAGACCACGTTATAAGGGAAGAGAAAGAGATTTATCAGAGAGGGTGTGACCCAAAAAGGCAAAAAGAAAAAAATAAAAGAGGCTCACAGCTGAATCCGGACCCATCCCCGGAAGAACCACACTTGTGCTCAGACCTGCCTCTTGCAGCTGTGTCTACAGGCAACTGGGAACTTGATGCTCGGACAAGTTGAGAGTGTTCGGGCTGGGACCAGAGAGTACAGTGGGTACAGCGAGGACGCTTGCCCTGCACAAAGCCAACCTGGGTTTGATCCCCAGCATCCCATATGGTTCCCCCAAGCTCACCAGGAGTAATTCCTGAGTGCAGAGCCAGGAACAAGCCCTGAGCACTGCTGTGTGTGGCCCAAAAGCAAAGAGAGAGAGAGAGAGAGAGAGAGAGAGAGAGAGAGAGTGTTCAGGCTATTGGGAAAGAATGAGCCTACTTTGCATGGAGACATGAATTGGGGATGCTGGGAGGTGGGAAAAGTCACAGACTGAATGTATTATCCCCCAATTCCCACGTGGAGATGCCTCCTAACCCACCATGGGGAGTGGGAAGGGTGCTTTCTTGAGACCAGCGCTTCTCTTGGATTTTATTATTATTATTGGGGTGATAGCACAGTGGCAGGGTGTTTGCCTTGCACGCAGCCAGCCCAGCTGAGCCGGGTTTGATTCCTCTGTCCCTCTCGGAGAGCCCGGCAAGCTACCGAGAGTATCTCGCCCGCATGGCAAGGCCTGGCAAGCTACCCGTGACGTATTCGATATGCCAGACACAGTAACAACAAGTCTCAAAATGGAGATGTTACTGGGCTCGAGCAAATCGATGAACAACGGGAGGACAGTGCAGTGCTATTGTTATCATCATCATCATCATCATCATTATTATTTTGGAGTTTGGGACAACAGCTGGGATCACTTCTGGCGGGCTTGGGGAACCATATGGGATGCTGGGGATTAAACCCGTTTGACCATTTGAAAGGCAAACACCGTACTCATGGTACTATCGCTCTGGCCCCATGAGATGGGTGATCTTCTAAGAGAGCCTGGAAACTCTACTGTCCCTTCCCTGAGTAGGGGCCACCTAGGGATTCTATCTGTGGGGTTGTTGGGGGGTGGGAGGGAGCGGGGGGGGGGGGGGGGGGGTTGATCTTGCACCTTGCAGACCCCAGAACCGAGAATGACCATCTGAGTTGTAGGATACAGCGCCCCCTAGTGGACGGACCATCTGAGTTGTAGGATACAGCGCCCCCTAGTGGACGGAGTCCACCCTGTCAGGGCAGCGGACTGAGCCCGCCCCTCTGCTGCAGAGGAAATGTTAGAGATCTGACATGAGTTCCTCTGGCTGGTTCCCCTCACATTCTGGGACTTTCCAACCTAGGGGAATGTCTGAGCACAGTTTGGGGGCTTTTCTGGGCCCTTCACATTCCAAATTGCAGAGTTTCCATGCCCAGACGTAGGCGTGGGGCCAGTCAAGCCTGGGCGGGGAGCTGCAGTGTTGTCTGAGGGGCCGAGGGGTGCAGGTGCCCAGACACTGGCAAAGGGGCAGCCCCGGGGAAGCGGGTCCGGGTTCCTGCTCATCAGTCTCCACGCCCACTCCCGCCCCTGCCCTGTGCCAAGCTGACGCACGTACTGCTCTAACGCTTTATTATTACCAGAGAGAGAAATGAGCATGGAAGCAGCCTGTGTCCGCAGCCCTTGCGCCTGGCTTCCAGAGTCATCCTGCCAGCAGCGGGGAGCAGTGGCCGGTACCCCCCCCCCCGCCTGCTGCTCCTGATGGGGGTGTGACCAGAGCAGGGCCCCTGGAGAGGAGTGAGGATGGGGAGGGGGCCTGGCTCTGTCTGGAGAAGGGTGTGGGGAAGGGCTGGGTGCTGGGAAAGGGAGGAATCTACCGCGGGACCCCCGGGAGGGGCAGAGCAAGGCCCTCATGTGGGACCCCCAAAACAGGAATGTTTCTTTAGGGTCCCCCTCCTGACAGGGGACTAGGTGTTGGGGGGAGTCAGATGACATCCTGACTTTGGGTTCCTCAGATCTGTGTTGTTTTCCTTTAATCTTTCGGGGGCCCACACGAGTGCCCCACAGCCTCAGAAGGCCAGGAGTCAAGAGCCTGGCTCCACTATGATCCTGCCTGTCCCCCAAACTCAGTGATTCCCTGAGCAGGGGTCCCCTCTTTCATTCATCCCCATCCCCTCCCCATACTGAAACAGCAATAAGCCCTCCCTCCTTCCCAGAGAGCAGGGCTTCCCCACAGGGTGCCCCCTCTGCTGGGCTCAGGGGGGCCCGGCCAGGTGGACACTCGGCCCCTGACGCCTGCACACCCGCACTGGTCCTTGGACCAGGACTGGAACCCACTGCTGGAAGCAAAGGACAGAGGTGGGGTGGGGTGGGGAGAAGGGCCGGGCCCACCCAGACTCAAAGGACTGGCATTTTTAGTTGGTGAGGGTGCAGATCCCAGGTCAGGGAGCCCCTTAGGGACCTCCAGCTGACCCCACACCCAGGGGAGCCGGCCAGCCAGGTTTAGGCATTAGTGAGCGAGTGTCGGGGTGGGAGCGGGGGCGCGGGGCCAGGGGGCCGCGGAGCTGCTGGGGGGAAGCGTGGAGTCGGGGGAGTCGGCCGGGCTCACTCCGAGTGGACCAAAGCTCCAGCCCCTTGTCCGAAGCCGAAGCCCTTGGGCCCGAAGTTTTTGGCATAGCATCCTGCAGAGAGAAGGGACGATGTGTCCAGCTGCACCAGCCGCTCCCGCTGCACCCTCTCCCCACCAGCAGCCAACACCCACACCTCAACAACACCCTCAACACCCCCACAGCTAGAGGGGCTGGCTCCACGTGTCCAGTTCCACGGGAGTGGTGAGAGGTGCGTGGTCAGCTGTCAGCACAGAGCTGGGGGTGGGGGGTGGGCAGCATCCCATTCTGGCCCCAGGCTACCCCCAAGGGGCTACACAAGTCAGCCCACTTCCTCCCTGGAACCCCTCCCCCACACACACACAGCCCCAACTTGGGGGCTGGGTTCCCCTCTATACACTGAAGGGGTCCCCCCAGATGCTCTGGGTGCACCCCACTGCCAGAGGGGCTCAGCTTTGGAGAGGGTTCTCCTCTCAGCCTCACGGCTGCCCCAGCCACTCACCCCAGCCCCAGGGCAAGCACCCACCTTTGCAGTAGATCTCGCCCTCCTTGTCAGCCAGGGTGGTCGACTCCAGGCTTTTGCCACACTTGGCACACCGGAAGCAGGACTTGTGCCAGGACTAAGAAGGGAAAGAACAGTTCATGAGACCAGAATCCCGTTCCAGCCCCCACCTGATTCAAGGACTCTGGGAGGCCTCCAGTCATGTGACTGGGGTTGGTGGTGGTGGTGGTGGTGGTGGTGGTGCCTGAAGGGCACCCTGGTGCCCCCTGGTGGAGGGAGCAGGAACTGCATGGGCAGGCAGAGGGGCGATCCCTGCCCAGGTATCTGTCCCCCAGGGCGAGGACAGACAAGCTCTCCAGAGCCTGCGTGGCTCAGTCCCTGGACTCGTCTTGGCACTGTCGGCCTCAGCATTTCCTCATCGGCGCCTCCCAGCCTGACTGGAGGAGCAGACCCAAAAAGTGCCATGTATGGAGCCTGGCACGGGGCACAGTTACGTGACTGAGCTTCCCCAGAACCTGCCTGGCCTTGACCGCCTACAGCTGGGTGTCTGCTCTGTCCTCTTGGACAGCAGGAATCTGAGCGTCCCTCCCTGGGTCTACACCCAGCATGCCCTGAGTCTGTCAGTCCAGGATGGCCTTGGAGGGCAATACTTCAAAGAGAGGAGCCTGGGGGGTTGTTTTCTTGGAGGGCTCAGAAGAGGTCCACCTCTGGTTCACCAGCCCCCACTGCGGGGGTGCGGGCACAGCCGGCCAGAGCTGAGCGGACACAGAGGCTGCTGTGTGTGAGCTAAGCACGGGCACCGCCCTCAGGACAAAGCGAAGCCTCCCGGCTCACTCGTTTCTTGTCTTTCATTCATGCCGTAGTTTAATGCTAACCTTTATGCGTTAATGGTTTAGAGACATGAAGTCACTCCACTACCCTCAGAGTGCTCAGGACCCCACACTGTCCTTCCCTCCCTCCCTTCCTCCTCCTGCTCCTCCCCCACCCCTGGACTCATCCTGGCAAGGTCAGCCTCAGCGTCTCCTCCTTGGAGCCTCCCAGCCTGGCTGGAGGAACGGACCCAAAACAGACCACACTGGGTGGAAACCTCAGTTTGGTAATCCAAGGCCAAGGGGCTGTTATTGTTTGGTGCTGTCTTCTCCCTCAAACAAGACCTTTTAAGGGCAAAGCAACTTCCTCTGCACAGCTGTTGGTGCCAGAGGCTGAGACATGGGGCCCCTCCCATCTCGGCTAGGCTCTCCTCCTGTGCTCCAGGGGCCATGGGACCTGGGGAGCAGAGAAGGGATCAGCCCCCCCCCACCCCGTTCCCCCCACAGCTGCCCGTCTCTGCCATCTGCAGGCCCCACAAACTGCTTGCTCCCTTCTGGCTCCCCCCCGCCCGGGGCCTGTCAACCCCTGCAAAGCTCACCCTTACTCCACTCAGCACACATGGCTTGTCCTGCCCACACGATTCCCCTTCAAGCCAAGGCCAAAGCAATGGGGGGAAGGTGGAGAGAGAGAGGGGGGTGGCATGATTCGTTCTGCCTGACTTTTTCAGTTCAACACAAAATGCTGTCACCCTACCCCATTGTGGTGCACATTTTTTTTTCTTAAGTAAAACAGATTTTATTTGGAGGGTTTTAGGAAGGGTAAGTGGGGGGGAAAGTGTGAGAGTAACATGCTCAAGAGAGAACCCGGGCTTCTCCAAGGGCGGAGAGAGCCCCTACATACATCCCAGCATCAGATATGGAAGCATGAAAGTCCACATCTCAAGAGGGGAGATGCGGGAGGCACATGTGCTTGGGCACCACAAGTGCTCGGCCACGTGGGCACAAGCAGCACACGGGCTTGGGAAGCATATGTGCGCCCATGATGGACCTTTTTTTCCCCCTTGGCTTTTTGGGTCACACCCAGTGATGCTCAGAGATTATTCCAGGCTCTGCACTCAGGAATCACTCCTGGTGGTGCTCAGGGGACCATATGGGATGCTGGGAATCAAAAACCCGGGTTGGACGCATATGCTGCCCGAGCCCATGTGTTGCTTGCACCCACATGGCTGAGCACATGTGGTGCCCGAGCACATGTGTTGCCTGCATCTCCCCTCTTGAGATGTGGACTTTCATGCTTTCGTGTCTAATGCTAGGATGTGTGCAGGGGCTCTCTCCGCCTTTGAAGAAGCCCGTGTTCTCTCTTGAGTGCGTTACTCTCTCTCACTCTCTCTCCCTCCATACCTAAAAATCCTCCAAATAAAATCTATTTACTTCACAAAAAAAACCAGGTTGGCCTTGTCAAGGCAAATGCCCTCTCCCCGTGCTATCACTCCAGCTCCCCGTGGTGCTTCTTTAACTTGACCTCTCACCCTAGGCAGGTAACAAACGCAGATCACACAGATTTTTATTATTATGTTATAGATTGCGAGTGAGAGACTGAAGTGAATCCTTTTTCCACATCATTGGAGCAGATTGGTTCATCTTCCCCTTTCCTTCATGACAACCCTACCAGTGGTTTTGCCACCCTGTAGGAGTAACCCTCTCGGCCATGCTCCGGGTATTGCATAAGAACGAACTGCAGAGCAAGATCTCACTGGACCTTCTACTATAGTTCAGTTTTAGTTTTTGGGCCACACCTGGTGGTGCTCAGGGCTTACTTCTGGCTCTAATCTCAGGGATCACTCCTGGCAGTGCTTGGGGGAGCGTATGGGGTGCCAGGAATCAAACCTGGGTCAGCTGTGTGCAAGGCAAGTGCCCTACCCACTGTACATTGGTTTGACCCTCACTCGACTTTTTAAAGGGACTGAATTCCCAGCACCACTTTCCTTGAAAGAATTTTTTTCCTAATGCTGAAGAATAGTAAAATTCTCTTGTGTACCTGTGTCTGTGACTTTACAGGCACAGAATGGAGACGAGGGAATGCAGAACCCCTGGTCCACAGCCAAACAACTTGGAAGCTCCAACCTGCCCTGCTGAAGGCCAGGGACTTGCCCATACTGTGAAGATTCGGGATCCTAGAACCAGCCGCTAGCCCAGGGGTGAGGGGCGCCGAGGGAGCCAAGTTCAACCCCCAGCACTGCACCCCCCCCCCCCTCATACACACACAGCCCCCACGCACAGGGCGTGGTGCTGGAAATCCCCAATCACCACTAATGGAAGGCGGCCACACTGCTGGGCCCAAGCTCTGACTCCTCCGGCCCAGTATGCTAGTCAGTGGCAGGAGTAGCCCCAGGCCATCTAAGAACTGCTTGGGGGCACCCCCACCTTCCAAAACAAGAAAAACAGCTGGGAGGGCACTGGTTGAACTGAGAGCCCCCAATGTCCAGGCTGGCCCCTTGTCCTACATCCATCCATTCCTCCAGACCCTTCCTTGGGATGGAAAACAGCTCTGAGATGTCCAAGCCCAAATCTGGAAGAGCAGCAGATGGTGCTGCTGGCCTGTGTGGGGTGGGCCTTATCTCTGGAAGATTCTTTTTCTGCAGCTCTGCAGCTGCTCTGAGCAAGGCTGTTCCCACCCTTCCTCATGGTGCACTGAGGGTGTGTAGGCTGGACCCCACGGTCATTGGGCTTCAGTGAATGGGGCCCACTAGAAGGCTTCAGTGGGGAGAGGGTGTGTGGCCTCCCTGGGAGACTCTGGTGGGCCCTGAATCTGAAAAGCCTCTGCCGTGAGATGCGTGGCAGCCAAGGAAGCAAACGCCTGTGCTCCGTCACGCCTGGGGGGTGATAAATCCCTGTGAACATTTGATGGACACCGTGGGCCATCTTCCTGGAACGAGCATGCCATTGCAGGAAACCGCGTGCCATTGCAGGAGGCTTATGGGTCCACTAAAACCCACTCAAGGACCCCCAAAGCTCTATGATCTGCCAACTCTTCAGCGCCAGGTGGATCTCTGACTTGAACTCCTGGGGGTCTGGAGGTTCAGGGATAAGCAGCCTACAGGGACAAAGGGGTCCTTCCCAAGAAGGCAGTGAGCGAGTGCTGGTGCCCGGGATCCCCTGCGAGTGCCCACACTGGAGAAGGGGGTCCCCCTGCCTTACCTTCCCCGCACCAATCACCTTCTCGGCCGCATAGACCACTTGGCTGCACCGGGGGCAGCGCTCCGCGCCGCCAATCTTCTGAGCAAACTTGGATGCGTTGGGGTTGGTGGTGGGCTTGTGGCCAGGGGTCCTGCGTGGGGAAGTCAAAGGTCAGCAAAGCCAGCTGGGGACACAGGCGGGATGGCACTGGGGGCTCCCCTCGCCCGGCAGTCAGCACCGCTCTCCTGGCCAGTCCTGGGCCCCTTTCCTGTGAGCTGGGAAGAGCAGGACCTGGCTCCTTTCTGGGAAACAGCCCTTCCCCTCTGCCCTGAACCAACCCTGGGGTCACTTAGCACCTCATTTGCGCAGAATTTCTCCCTTCACCTCCCACCCCCCATCCACTCTCAGATTCTTTCCAGGAGAAATCTGCTGACCAGACCTCTCCCCCTGGGCAACCCAACCCCTGGGGTGCCGGAGAGTGAGTGCTGGGGATTTGGTGATGCCAGGAAGAGAAGGGACGGCCCCTCAATCTGGGGCAAACGAGGACCAGGGACTGCGGTGGTCAGGGCATCTGGTCCGGGTGTGCTGGGGCCCCCACAAGGCACTGAGGCAGCCCCGGGTGTCCCCTCTTAGAGAAGAGGACTCACTGGCCACCTTTAGGGCACACAGGTGCTGCTCAGGGCACCAGTGTGCAGAGGACGGAACCAGCTGCCTGCCTGCAAAGCTGCATTGAACCCTTTGGATGGTTCCCAACCCACCCAGCAGCAGAGCCTGTAACAACAGAGGCTGTGGGTTCCTGGAGGGAAGGGTCAAGCCTCTCCCGTGGGGCCCCCAGATCCTCTCATGGTCCTGACACCCCGCCGTCTCCCTGGGACTACTCGAGAAATCCAAAACCTTCGGCCTTCGGGAAGCACGTGCCCGCAGGGGCAGGAGAGCAAGGGGCAGGACGGGCACTCACTCCTCGTGCTTGATGCCCAGTGACTCGCCCTTGTCGGTGCTCAGCGTGCCGGCGCCCTGCCCGTAGCCATAGCCCTTGGGCCCGTACTTCTTGCCATAGCAGGACTTGCAATAGATTTCCTCGCCGTGCACGGCCACGGTGGTGCTGTCCAGGTTCTTCTTACACACCACTGTGGAGGAAAATGGAGATGCTGATGGGGGCGCTGGGGAGGTGGAGGGGGCGCTGGTTCCCAACAAGTCCCTGCAGAGGATGCCAAGCTCTCTCAGGCTCTGCACACTGGACCTCCTGACCTCCCAGGATGAGCAAGGCAAGGGAAGCTAGATGGCCGGGAGCGGGGAGGAGTGGGCTAGGAGCTGAGTGACCCCCAAACCTGCATGGGGGCGGGGGTGTCTTCAGCACCGTCAGCCTCTGTAGGAGGCAGCACACCCCCGGGTTCATGAACCCAACGGTGCCGGTGGGCCCTGCCCTTGACAGAGACCACACGCGTGTGGCAGCCAGAGTGGGGAATGAAAGCAAGGAAGGAAGGGCAGGGCTTTCCTGCCGCACCCCGGCATCCAGAGTGGACAGACTGGGAAAGGGGGGCCGGGGAGGGGGTGGAGGTGCAGCTCGTTTCCTATTACTTGACACCGCCCACCCCCAGCACGGGCAGCTCTGAAATGAGCCCACATGGGTCAGGGCGCTCGCAACAGGATGTGAAGTTGTAAGGAGGAGGGAGGTGGGTGGCTGGATGCCTTTCTGCAAGTGGGGAAGATGGGCACGGGGTGCGAGACGTTTAGCACAGCAGGCAGGACGTTTGCCTTACACGCGGTTGACGCAGGTTCGATTCCCAGCATCCCATATGGTCCCCTAAGCACTGCCAGGAGTCATTCCTGAGCGCAGAGCCAGGAGTAACCCCAGGCGGGACGGCAGGAGGCACCTCTGGACCCGGTTTCTCTTCTGCTGTGGCTCAGAAGCAGAGCTGACCCCACTGTGCAGTCTGGCCACCCAGGGTCACCTTCCATGGTCTCGGTCCTTGGTCTTTCCTGCTCCTCTGCCCACCTCCTCCCGGCAGAGAATGCTGCACCGAACAGGGGTGTGGAAATGAAGCAGAAGCCTCCGTGTGAGAAGGGCTGGGCAGCTCAGCTGGTGGTTCTATTTTTTTTTTCTTTTTGGGTCACACCCGGCGATGCACAGGGGTTACTCCTGGCTCTGCACTCAGGAATGACTCCTGGCGGTGCTCAGGGGACCAGATGGGATGCTGGGAATCGAACCCGGGTCGGTTGCATTCAAGGCAAATGCCCTACCTGCTGTGCTGTCGCTCCAGCCCCACATCTGGTGATTCTTAATAGTGTTCTTTTTCTTTTCCTTTTATTTCGTTTTTGTTTGGGGGGGTGGGGGGAAATGGTGTCTATATCCGGCAGTGTTCTGGCTCTGCTCAGGGATCACTGACAGCCAGGGTTAGAACCTGGGAAAACTGTGTGCAAGACCGACGCTCTACCCACTGTCTTATCTCTCTGGCCCCTGCTCTTAATTATTTTCTATCAGGTGGGTACCATGGCAGACAAGGGGCGGGGGACAGGTGCTCAAAAGACCACCTACCACCCCCACTTCTACCCCCACTTCTCTGGACTTTATTTCTTTGGGTCCAGGAATGGAACTTGGTTTCCGATTATTCCCAAGACATCGGGGTTCAGCACATCGTGAGGGAGACAGCTGGGGTGGCGTCATAGCCCTGTTCCTTGTAACCTGCCACTCCCGGGCTGCCCGCCCCCGCTCACCCTGAGCCCCAGGCTGGAGACTCGGGACTAAATAAGGCTCCTCTTGTCCCCCCCTTGAGATCCCCACCTCATTCCAGCACCAAATATGGAGCCTCCTGCTGCCTCCCCGGGGGCTGGGCTCCCGGGAAGGAGCAAGAAAGAACAACAGGCCCAAGGCTCCCCGCATTCCCATGTAGGGTGGGAAGTCGGGAGTTGGCCTGGGATGGCTTCCGGTAAGACCCAAGTTGAACTGGAAATTCCAGGAGCAGAGGGAAGGCAGAAAGCAGAGGCCAGGGAGGCTGAGGGAGGGAGCGGGGATCTGTTTTGCCAGCTCCCTCCAGTAGCTCCCTCAGAGCTCCTGGGCCCATAAGGCTCCGCCCTGCTGGTTGAGTGCTAGCTCCCAGAGGGATGAGCCCTCCCGACTGGGTTTGCCCTGCTTAGTTTTTGCAGATGCCCCATCCTGCCCCAGGGGGCTCAGCCCCTCTGCTGGCCTCCACCTCTCTGTCATGACCCAGGAAATGCAGACTCACTCAGCTGCAGGAACCATCAGAGGCTCGGTGTCGTCGAATGAAGCCCTAAATAATACATCAACTGGGGCTGGAGCAATAATAGCACAGCAGGCAGGATGTTTGCCTTACACGCGGTTGAGCGGTTGACGCAGGTTCGATTCCCAGCATCCCATATGGTCCCCTAAGCACTGCCAGGAGTCATTCCTGAGTGCAGAGCCAGGAGTAACCCCTGTGCATTGCCAGGTGTGACCCAAAAAGCAAAACAACAACAACAACAAAAATGACACATCTACCAAGTCCTGTGAAGCCCAACAGGAGCGGCTTCGTGATGGCCTAACTATGTGCATTTGTGGAAAGATAGGAATTGTGAGGGCTCCTACTGCTGTTAGGTGACACCCAAGCTGACCCCCAAAGACAGAGGTGGATTCTATCTGGAACAAAACCCAGATCCACATAGGGGCTGAAGCAATAGCACAGCGGGTAGGCATTTGCCTTGCACGTGGCCCATCTGGGTTCGATTCCCAGCATCCCATCTGGTCCCCTGAGCACCACCAGGAGTAACTCCTGAGTGCAGAGCCAGGAGTAACCCCTGTGCATCGCCGGGTGTGACCCAAAAATTAAAAAAAAAAAAACACCCAGGCCCACAGCCCAGTTCTGGCCACAGCATCAAGCAGATGCAGGGCCAGGCCGGACCATGGCCGCTATCTTCATGCCAAGCCGGTTGCTTTCTGCCAGCCTCTGGCCCCTTCCTGATGGGCCTTACCCATGGGGCGGGGAGGGGAAGAGCACAGGAAACGCCGGAAAGGCTGGTGTGGATGGGCGCACGGGGTGCTGGGAGTTCTACGGAGCGACCCAGGCTAGGCCTGAGTGGCTCTGGCGTCCACGGGCTGGTGCTCCCTCCCCCATACCTGCCCACAGAGGGAGGAAGTTGGTTACGGCTCAGAGATGGGCACAGTGCCTGGCCACAGGACTGAGTGATCCTGCCACTAATGGGGACCTACAAAGAGCACCCTGCGTCTGCTCTGGCTCAAGAGCTGAGCCCAGGGCCAAGGCTTCCCACCCCCCACCCACTGAGACTATCTCGCATCCGCCCGGGTTCAAGGGCCCAGTCCAGGGTGGAGACTGCCCCCACCCCCGCCGCCACCGCCGTGGTCTCTGTGGGTCCTAGGCCTTCCTGGGGGGAGCCACATCGACTCCAGAGCTGAGGACTAGTCAGAGATTCTCCAGGGCCAGCCAGCTGGGCACTCCAGCCCAAACACATCCAGGCCCAAGCCTGCAGTTCACTCTTCCTTCACAGGAAAGTCACTTGGTTCTGGGGGTGGTTCTGAATTATAACATTCAAACTGCTCTGCTTTATTTTTGGTGGTGGGGTTGATTATTTGGGGAGGGGGTTGTTTGTGTGTTTGTTTGGGAGCCACACCCAGCAGTGCTCGAGGAGTTACTCCTGGCTCTGCACTCAGGGATCATTCCTGATGGTGCGCGGAGGACCATATGGGATGCTGTTAGGGTCAGGGGATAGTTGACACCCAAGCTGACCCCCCAAAGACAGAGGCTGATTCTATCTGGACAAAACCCGGGTCCACATGGGGGCTGGAGCAATAGTACAGCAGGTAGGGCATTTGCCTTGCACACGGCCAACCTGGGTTCGATTCCCAGCATCCCATATGGTCCCCCGAGCACCGCCAGGGGTAATTCCTGAGTGCAGAGCCAGGAGTAACCCCTGAGCATCACTGGATGTGACCCAAAAAGAAAAAAAAAAACACCCAGGCCCATAGCCTAGTTCTGGCCACGGCATCAGGCAGACGCAGGGTCAGGCTGGGTCGAACCTGGGTGGGCCACATGCAAGGCAAGGTCCTATCCGCTGTGTTATCGCTCTGGCCCAAACTGGTCACCGGTGTGCAAGCACCCTTCGTCCTTCAGAAACTACTTCCTCTAAGCCTGCGACTTGCCCGCCATGGGTCAAGGCACTGGGGCAACAGGGAAGCTGTGGGGAGATGCCCTAGTCGGGGGGCCACCTGAAGAGCTGATGCCCAGAGCTGGGCTAGCCCCGGAGGCCCCTGAGAACAGCCTGTCCCTGTGGCCCTGTGGCCACTGGTGTCCCAACACCCGCCCCCACCCCACTTTCACCCCAGCCTGACTCTCTGACTGTTTCTAATCCTCAGCACCTCCCCACCCCTCCCGGCCCTGGGCCAGGCCTGCGCCCCTCCTCCCCGGCCCATGCAGGCAGCAGGCCAGAGCTCTTGCTCACAGCTGGGCCCTCTCTTTCAGAGGTTGAGCAACATTGGAGCACGGAGAGCAGTGCCCTTCCTGGACTCCCTTCTTGGCCTGTGCCAAGCTCCCTCTGATAAGTAAAGGATCATCTGAGGGGCCGAAGAGGTAGTACAGCCCGTATACACAGCCCAGAGTTCGATCCCCGGCATCCCCAGGAATGATCCCTGAGAGCAGAGCCAGGCCAGGAGTAAGCCCTGAGCACCACCAGGTGTGACCCCAAACCCAAAATAAATAAATAAATGTTAGAAAATGCCAAAGGGGGGCTGGAGAGATAGCACAGCGTGTAGGGCGTTTGCCTTGCACGCGGCCGACCCGGGTTCGATTCCCAGCATCCCATATGGTCCCTTGAGCACCACCAGGAATAACTCCTGAGTACAGAGCCAGGAGTAAACCATGTGCATCACCAGGTGTGACCCAAAAAGAAAAAAAAAAGAAATAAAAAAAAGAAAATGCCAAAGGGCCGTGTCGACATTCTAGGGAAAAAGGGAGCTCAGATAGAGAAAGGAGCACCAAATAAAGGGTGTTGGGTGGATCCTCCCAGGATGGGAGAAGCATGCTGAAAGTAAACTATAATGAAACATTATTGTCACCCATTGCCTCTTTTGCAAACCACAACACCCAAAATGAGAGAGAGAACAAAAGGGAATGCCCTGCCACAGAGGCAGGGTGGGATGGGGGATGGGGGTGGGAGGGATACTGGGATTAGTGGTGGTGGAAAATGGGCACTGGTGGAGGGATGGGTGTTTGATCATTGTACAATTGAAACCCACGGTCACGGTCACGGTCCTCCCATTATTCATCGATTTGCTCGAGCAGGCCCAGTAATGTCTCCATTGGAGACTTTGTTGTTACTGTGTTTGGCATATCGAATACGTCACGGGTAGCTTGCCAGGCTCTGCCGTGCGGGCGAGATACTCTCGGTAGCTTGCCGGGCTCTCCAAGAGGGGCGGAGGAATCGAACTCGGGTTGGCCATATTGGCCGCTTGCAAGGCATACGCCTTACCTGCTGTGCTATCACTCCAGCCCACAATTGAAACCCAAGCACAAAAATTTGTAAATCTACAACTGTACCTCATGGTGTTTCACTAACAAAAATTTAAATAAAAAAATGTCAATGATGGAGAATGGGCACTGGTGGAGGGATGGGTATTCGATCATTGTATAACTGAAATCCAAGCATAAAAATTTGTAAGTCTACAACTGTACCTCATGGTGTTTCACTAATAAAAATTTTAAAAAATAATAAAAATAAAGATGCATGTAGGAAAAATGAGAAACACACACACACACACACACACACACACACACACACACACACAAGAAACCACAAAGGGCCGTGTCGAGGCTGCAGCTGGGCTTATGCCCAGAGCCACCCACAGCACTCACCAGGGCAGGTGGTGCAGGGGCCGCCCGGGGCACTGTCTGCCACAGGCCAAGGAGCAGGCCAAGGGCAGGTGGACTCTGTCCCTCCTGGGTCGCCGGGCACAAAGCCCCCACTTCCTGGACTTCATATCATCGTGGTTTTGGACTACTCAGAGCTGTGTGTGTGTGTGAGGGTGTGTGTGTACGTGAAGATGTGGGGAGCATACGAGGTAGTTTATGTGTGCATGGCGGGGGGTGGTACAGGAAACATTTGTGTGAGGGTGTGAGGTGTGTTTGTGTGTTAAGTATGTGTGTATGAGAGTGCTGTGTGGTACAGAGTGGTTGTCTATACGTGAGATGTGTGTGGGAAGTGTATATGTGGAGTGTGATGTATGTATGTGTGTGGTACAGGGTGTGGTATACGGGTATAAGACATGTGATATGTATGGTAGTGTATGTAGGGTGAGGGGGTACATGGGTTGGTGGCATACTTGTGCCTGATAAGTGAGCAGTGTGTGTGGTACGAGATAGTGGTATACGTGTGTGAAGGTGTGTAAGTGTAGAACAGGTTCTGGTATATGTGAGTGGTTGGGAGCTATGGGTGTGGTACAGGGTGAGTATGCGTGTGCATGACGTGTGAAGGGTATGTGTGATGTGGATGGTAGTATATGTGCTGTGTGTGGGGGGGTATATGGGGAGATGGCAAACATGTGCCCAACATGTGAAGGGTGTGCATGTGTGTTGGTATATGTGGGTGGTGTGTGAGGGGGTGTGTGTTTGTGTGTTGTGTATATGTGTGTGTGTGTGGTATGAGGCGGTGGTATATATGTTTGAGGTTGTGTGTGTGAAACAGGGTAAACGTGTGTCTGATATGTGAGGAGTGTGGTATGGGTCGTGGTTTATTTCTAACGTTGTATGTGTGTATTGTGCGTGTGTGGTATATGAGAGGTGTGGAGGCATGTGGTATGTGGACAGGGAAGATGGTGTGCGGGTGTGTGGGGATTGTGTGTGTGTGAGTGTGTGTATGCGTGTGTGCATGTGTGTGGGAGGTGTATGTGAGTTGCGTGTGTCAGAGGAAGCTGTCGACAGTGACACTCCCGGCTGCCTGAAGGACTCTTATCGTGCTCGCTCCTTTACTTCCGTTCTCATGCATCCCTGTCAGGTTAAGGGACTGGCCTGGGCTGGAGAAACCTACCAGGAGCAAGAGCTGCTTGTCCTTCTCCCACAGACCCTTCGAGCAGAATTCAGAGATTCAGAGTCACACCCTGACGGCCGGCTGGGAGGCTCTGGGCTCACTCGGCTACCTGTTCCCCACTTCTGCCGGCCCCCAGGAGATAGGCTGCTGCTTGCTCACCCAGACAGGCCTGTGCTGATCACAGGACCCAAATCCTTTCTGCCCCGGGGTGCCGTCCTGAGGCAGGGGCTGGATCTCTGGGCTCTTGTGTGGGGCAGCCTCAGCCTGGGGTGCTGGGGTGGCCAGCGAGAGCCACCTGCAAAGGAAGTCACTGCCCCTTCCGGCCCACCTCCCTCCAGGTGAGGCCTGTTAAGGGGGGGTCATCGGGGTCTAAAGGCTGAACCTTGGTGCTCACAGTGCCTCCCCCGAAGGCCAAGCCAGTGGCGGGGAGCCAAAGGAAAAGAAGTCTGTGGAAAGTTTCCCTGATTCGTCTTGGCCCCGCGCCAGCCAGTTCCTCCCCCTTCGAGAGCTGCTTCTGGGGCCAACAAAGACCCTGAAGCGTTGCCCTCCCCAGCTGTGCCTCAGCCAAATGTCAGGCTGTTTACAATCTCCGGGGACCAGTTCCTGGGGTGTTGACAGCCCGCCCGGGGCACAGGCCCAGGTCCTGGTCCCCAGGGCAACCGCCAGCCTGGGCACTCACTGCACAGGAAGCAGGACTTGTGGAAGCTGTTCCCTTCGCACTGAACCTCTTCAGCAAAGTAGACTGTCTTCTGGCACACCCCGCACTTCTTGCCTCCTCCCCAGTTCGGCATTCTGGAAAGAGACACAGAACCCGGTTAGTTCTCCAGGGAGGGAGTCGTGAAGGGAAACCGCGGGCAGAGCTGGGCAGTTTCTACACTTCCACTGCTCTCCACGGCTCCCCAAAAACTGGCCCCTTGGGACTTTCCTCCTCCTCTTGAGCAGACGTTCACTCACCCCTGTCAAGCTCTCTGAGAAGTGTAAAAAGCCACAGACCCAGGCTCCAGAGCAATAAAAACCAGCCTCCTGCTCCAGGGGATGGGGCGCCCCAGAGGCAGTGAGTGGGGCTCCCCTCCCGGAAACCGAGTCTGCTGTAAGTTTCGTGACAAGGAAAATCCACACAGTTGAAGCCCAGGGCGAGAGGGAGAAACCAGGGTAAAAGCAGCCAATATTTATGACAAAGTGCGCTCCACATCTGTTACCGCTCAGGGAAGGGGCCCCCTTCCCACCAAGGGGCTGCTGAGGCAGCGTGACCTGCTTTGTCTTCCTGCAAGGCGGGGGGCGTCTCAGGGACAGCCTGTACAGTGATCCTCTGGGCTGCAGCCATGGGTTTCCCCTGCCTTGTGTGTGCGTGTAAGTCACACCCAGGACACACCACGGGTGTGTTCAGATCAGGGGGCTGGTGAAGGCCAGATGTTCCAGCGCCCACCCCCGGATTGAGTTGCCCCCAGGAGGAAGGTTTGGTGAGCATCCTGGAGAATCCAAAGCCAACATCCCAATCCAAAGTCGAGATCTCAGTTCTGGGCGAGGATCTGTTCCTCACCCTGTGTGGCAAGTACCCTGGCGAGGTCTTTGGTCCATGTGAACCATGATGGGGGCATCTGGACAACGGCGAGACAGACAAGGACACTTTGTGAGCTAGTCCTGAATGTGGCAGACCCTGGGCCTGGTATCTCGCTGGAAAGGTGGGTCCTCGTGTGTGGCAGAGACGATGTCGGAGCCTGGCTGCAATGTCAGGGTAGCACAGAGGTGGAGGGCGTGGGCGGCTGGGAGCAGAGACCCCTTCAGCTGACCAGACCTGCCTCTCACCTTCCATTTCCATCACACCCTCTACAACGCCCAAGACGGAGCCAGGAAACAAGCCCTTCTGGGTCTTGCCACAGAACTACATGGCGGAGAAGAGGTCCTGCGTGGGCCCAGGCAACTGTGGGACAAGTGGGTGCCAAGACAGGCCAGGGCTGGAGCAAAGGAAGAAGCCAAGGGGTTGACTGAGGGGGCAAAGGAGCCTCAGGAGGAAGTTCACCCGGTCACGTGTTCCAAAAACACTGACCAAGTGGAGATCAAGCCCATCCCCTCCTGGGCTCTGAGCTGTGCCAGCATCTTGGCGGCCCTGGCCAGAACAGAGAGAGGCCCAGCCCTGTGGCTAAGAACATCCCGGCTAACTGAGGGTGGACACCGGCCTCAGCCCAAGAAAAAGCTGTCCAGGTTCATGAGGGGGGCTCAGGCCCCACAGTACCTGGTTGATCAAGTTCATACAGGGGTTGAATTAATATTTAGAGGAAGGAGCTGGAGCGAGATAATACAGCAGGTAGGGCACTTTGCCTTCCCTGCGACCCACCCAGGTTCAATTCCTGGCACCCGATACAGTCCTCGAGCATCGTCAGGAGTGAGCCCTGAGTACTGCGGGGTGTGGCCCCAAAACAAAAATTATGAGGAAATGACCGGGGATGTGGGTCAAGGGGTAGAGTGGCCACTTTGCACATGTGAGGCCTGGGTGTGGCCCTGGTGGTCCCTGAGCAACGTCCAGTGTGGCCCCCCAAAATAGCAGTGTAGGGGGCCCTGATGGTGGAAGCCACGTGCTGGCTCGGAGCAGGCTGGGAACAGTGTACAGTGGCAGCGAGCAGCACCCCCACCCCAAAATCTCAGCCTTCACCAAGGCCTCGTCAGAGCCGAGGGTTTGCCTGCTCCCTGTCTGCTCCCTGCCGGGTCCTGTCTGTCTCTCCATGGGTCCCTCTGTGCTAAGGTTGTTGCAGCTCCAGGGCTTCCAGACACCCCACCCCGTGTCCTCGGAATGCACCCCCAGCCATGGCTCAGACTTTATCGTGACGCCTCCATCTCTCTGGGTGCCACCTCCTTGTCGGTCCCCTGGGAATCTAAGCCCTGGCCCCCAGCCGCACTCACTGAGACTCCCCTTGCCCCTCACCCCCCGCGGGGTGCCCAGCCCTTTTCAGCCCTCTGCTCCAGGGGACACGTGTGCCACATCCACCTTCCAGGCGCCACCCTCCTCCACCAGCCTGGACCTGAGCTGCTGGCGCAGAGAGCGGCCTGTTACATAATCCCAGCCCACAGGGCCCGGGGCGGGGGTGGGGGGGGAGTTCTGGGGAGTCCTGGAGAGAAAAAGAAGCCCTCCTGATCTCCTGGGAGAGTTTTCTGTAAACGAGCCTGGGCAGACTGAAATCAAAGTGAAAATCAGACACGGGTTTCATTAGATCCTCTGAGGACCCCAGGGACAGGCTGGCGGGGCTGACAGAGCTGTGGGCCTGTGGCACGTGTGAGGGAGATGACAGGCTTTCACGAGAAGGCACCATAGCCCCTGTCACGCCAGCACCCTTGGCATGCTCCACTATCTATACCCCGGGGTCAAAGCAGAAGTGGGGCTGGAGCGATAGCACAGCGGGTAGGGCGTTTGCCTTGCACGCGGCCAACCTGGGTTTGAATCCCAGCATCCCATATGGTCTCCTGAACACTGCCAGGAGTAAGTCCTGTGCATCTCTGGGTGTGACCCAAAAAGAGAAAAAGAAAAAAAGTAGAAGTGTCCATCCTGGGCTGAGTGTGGGGTTTCCCTGACTGCTCTGACCTTGAGCTCTGTGACCCCACAGGGGAGGGTGGGAGTGGGGATGGGCTTTTCTCTCTCTCTCTCTTTTTTTTTTTTTTGCTTTTTGGGTCACACCCGGCAATGGACAGGAGTTACTCCTGGCTCTGCACTCAGGAATTACCCCTGGCGGTGCTCAGGGGGACCATATAGGACGCTGGGAATCGAATCTGAGTTGCCTGTGTCCAAGGCAAATGCTCCAGTCCCTTTTCTCTTCGTTCTCCGGCTGGCCCAGCTCCTGCTGGCCCCACCATGCATGCGGTGGGCACCCATGGGCAGAGTGCATGCCAGCAGCCCTCCCCCTCAGCTGTCAGTCCCTTAGAGGAGAGACATGATGGTCCCCAAATAAAAGTTCAGTCGTCACCCTCCTGGCCCTGAGTGAGGAGAGAGGAGCCATGGGGGACGAGGTCCCCAAGGGGGACGCCCTAGTCCCAGCTGACAGAGTCGGGAGAAACTGTGCTGACATCTACTATGCTGCTGAATTAAGCCAAACCTAAACGTCAGCCTCCTGAATCTTCCAGTTAAACACCCCCGCTCTCCCCCCACACCCCCCCACCACCCCTGTTCCCTTAATTGCTGCAGCCTGTCACTTTGCAGCTGGATGCTTCCCAGAAAGAGGCAATCAGGGCCAGACCACGTCTGGAATCTGCTTCCAGCCCATCCCCTCTCCCCCTCTTCTGCTCCGACTTTCCTCCAGGAGCCTCTCCAGGCTCCCAAACTCTCCACCACTCCTGCTGTCAGGGATTTGGCAGCACCCCCACAAAACACATTCACAGCCGTCTTTCTCCAGAACCTCCCAGCTGTTTCCTGCGCGGCGCCTCACACATCATCATGGTGGGCTGATGGCTCCCGACAAGAGAGGCACTGGGAGAACCCGCTGATGCCCACAGGAGCTGGGAGACTGTTCTGGGGGGAAGTGTTCTCCTCGAGGGTCTATGGCCAGGAGTCCCCTGCCCGGCCGTGTCCAGCCCAGCCGGCCCTTCACGCCCCCTTCAGAGTCTCTAGATGTGGCATCTCAGTCTCCTTCCTCCAGGAACCAACTCCTAGAAGCCCCCAGATCCCAGTTCCAGCCTGGTGGGGAGCAAGAGCTCAGAGCTGCCCAATAAGAGTATCCAGGGACTCTTTTTGTTTTTTTCTTTTTGGGTCACACCCAGCGATGCACAGACGTTACTCATGGCTCTGCACTCAGTGCTCAGAGGACCATATGGCATGCTGGGAATCAAACCCAGGTGGGCCGCGTGCAAAGCAAACGCCCTTCCCACTGTGCTATCACTCCAGCCCCTCCAGGGCCTCTTAATGAGGACCACAACAGCAGTCATGCCCCTCCTGATGCAGAACAAAGCCCCAACATGAGGCCTGGTCCCCAGTTCTCAAGGCAGAGTCCTCACCCACCCCTGGCCATGGTGCAGACAGTAGGGGCCCCGCTCGCATGGTCCGGGGGAATGTGCTCCTTCAGGGCTGGAGTACGCACAGCGGGTAGGGCGTTTGCCTAGCACACAGCCAGCCTGGCCGAGGCGAGTTCGATTCCTCTGCCCCTCTCGGAGAGCCCGGCAAGCTACCGAGAGTATCTCGCCCGCGTGGCAAAGACTGGCAAGCTACCTGTGACGTATTCGATATGGCAAACACAGTAACAAGAAGTCTCACAACGGAGACGTTACTGGGCCTGTTCAAGCAAATCGATGAACAACGGGAGGACAGTGCTCCTTCAGAGATGACCACTCGTGTTCTACTGGCCTCTGGGAAAGTGACCTGGAAGCCCCCCAGCCATCACCCCCCCATACCCCTGCCTGACCGTCTCCTCTCTCTCTCCCACCTGCACCAGGAGCTGTGCCCCTGCATAGAATGGAAAACAAGGCTCAGCCAGGTCAAGCCCTGCGCTGGCCACTAACGCAGGACAGGGACCTGGGGCAGGCACAGCCATCGCTGAGCCTCTGTCCCTCCATGGCCGCGCTGTCCCTCCCCCTGCCCTATTTCAGGGCACACAGTCCTTCCACTCCCAGCCCCACCAGCAGGGCCCCGTTCCGTCCCCCTAGGGGTCCCCTTAAGGGAGGAAAGTTCCCCCAGCCTCGTGGTCGGACTCTGTTCCAAGCCCTGTTTTGTTCCCAGACACAAAAGCCCTTCTGGATCTGGGGGAGCCCCAGAGCTCCATAAAGGCCTCCCTGTTCTCCCTGGCTCCGAGTCAGGGCCCCATCCAGCAGGAGAA